ACACAAACTGATTTATCAATACCCTTTGTATCTCAAAATTCCCCCACACAAGTCAAAGATCTCTTCGTCCAAACAAGGGCATACCTAAACATTTTTACGAACCAGATCCCAAAGTAAAAACCAAATACCCGATTAGCAGCTATATATCTACTAAAAACCTATCTGAATCATGTTCTCTAATTGTTAATCAATTATATATATTATAAGAAAGAATGGCTAAATAACAACACAAGGAGAGTGAATTGTGTTCTAAATTTTTTGCTAATAACAAAGAAAACCAAAACCTCTTTTTCAAAACAACATGCTAGAGAGATTTAACAATTAACAAAAATTCTCAAACCCTTAAAACAGATTCATATTATCAAGAACAATGAATCAAAGAAGAGTAATATGCAGCGAAAAATAAAAGGTAAGGGAAGAGAAGCTAACACCGGGATATATCATGGTTCACTCTCCACCACTGAGAGTTATATCCAGACTGAGATCGATCATTCCACTATCATCAAGCTTCCAACCGGTGCTTGAAGAGATTGTTTTACAAGAAGAATTTTACAAGACCTGTGATCTACCTGATCACGCTTAACCTAAACCCTAAGATCACTCCTCTTGAACCAGAAACCAAAACTCAATTAGAATTTTACAATACCGTGGCCAACCCCTTGATCACTCTTAACCTAAACCCTAGGATCACTCCAATTGAATCAATCACAGAAGCAGAACAACCTCCCCAAATCCAGAATTACAAAGAAAAACAGAGGAGGAAGAAGATTAAAGAGCTTTCTCTCTTTAAAATATCAATTTTAAGCATAATCCATGTACTTGGGTGATTCTAACTCTAATGCATGTAATAATACGCTCTCTTATGTTTCTGAAACCTAAAACATGATTTTATAGAAACCCAAGTCGGTTTAGAAAAGATATAAAAAGATTTGATTCAGATTTAAAAAATAATTATGTGATTCCCGATAAATATCCGGATACCATATCTGGATATGCCATATCCGGATATTTGATGACAACAACCCAAAATGCATCCGAATTTGATCCAAATAATTTCTAATTAATTCTTTCTCACTTCTCACACATGAATGCATGCTTCTAGTGTCAATATTACAGTGTTTCACGTGTGTGAGCCTTGCATGCATGTGTTTATATTCCTAAATGCAAACTAGAGAGATATAGCTCAATAAACTCAACTTCATACAACCCAAGACTCTAAAAATACATGACACATAATACAAACTTAATTCTTCAATTGTCTTCATCCTTTGAGTCTTCTAGGTCCTTTCTTTACTTGAATATTTGACTTTAGTCTTGACTTTGCACATTTGAATTACTTCTTCACTTTTGCATGTTACCTTGGTATTCTAGTACCATTTGGGACTTGTTGCACTGCCATCTAACTTGTGCATCAATGTTAAGCTTGTTGGTGCTTTGTAATCATCAAAACTTCAAATGTATAAGCTTGAAAACCTATGGTTCAACATGTATTCCGAATAGTGTGCAAGAAACATTGGATGATCCAAAATGGAAAGCTTCCATGAATGTAGAAATGGAAGCATTACAAAGCAACAACACATGGGAACTAGTTTCTTTACCAAATGGCAAGACAACAATCGACTGCAAGTGGGTTTTTAATGTGAAGCTAATGGCTAATGAGAGTATTGACAGATTTAAAGCAAGATTGGTGGCTAAAAGTTGTACTGAGAAGTATGGTGTAGATTACCAAGAGACATTTGCTCCTGTTGCCAAACTTAATACAATCCGAATTCTGATTTCCTTGGCAGCAAATAGAGACTGGCCATTGAATCAATTTGGTGTAAAAAATGTTTTTTTGAATGGAGATTTGGAAGATGAGGTATATATGGATGTGTCACCTGAGTAAAGTTATCATCTTCAAAGGAAAATGTAGTTTGCAAGTTAAAAAAGGCTCTGTATGGCCTTAAACAGTCGCCAAGGGCATGGCTTGGGAGGTTTTTTTTCTATCAATGAAGAAATTCGGCTATACACAAAGTAATGCAGATCACACTTTATTTTTTGAACACAGGGAAAGAAAAATAACTATTCTCATAGTCTATGTAGATGATATGGTCTTAACTAGAGATGATGCACACAAGATGAGGTCACTTGAACAACACCTAGCTAATGAGTTTGAAATGAAGGATCTAGGCCAGCTAAAGTATTTCTTGGGAATTGAGGTTGCAAGGTCTAAACAAGGAATTGTGTTATCTCAAAGAAAGTACATTCTAGTTCTGTTGTTTGAGACCAGAACGTTAGCATGTAAATCGGTTGACACACCAATAGAAATGAACCCTAAGCTTGGTATTTACCCAGATCAGATTAAAACTGACGTTAGCAGATACTAGAGACTAGTGAGGAGACTTATCTATCTATCACATACAAGACCCGATATTGCTTATGCAGTAGAAATGGTGAGTAGATTTATGCATTCCCCTAGTGAAGAACATATGAAAGATGTCTTTAGAATTCTGAGATACTTAAAAGGGTCACCTGGCAGAGGCTTCCTATTTTCTAAAAACGAAAAAAGAGGCATATAAGGATACACTTATTCTGATTGGGCTGGCGACCAAACCACAAGACAATCCACTTCTGGGTATCTCATGTTTGTTGATGGAAATCTAGTCACATAGAGGAGAAAAAAATAGAAGATGGTGGCTAGATCAAGTGCTGAAGCTGAGTTTGGAGGTATGTCATATGACATTTGTGGATTAAAAATTTCCCAAGAGACCTAAAGTTACAAAATGACCAGCCTATGAATACCTATTGTGATAATAAGGCTGCTATTGAGATTGCACATAACCTGGTTCAACATGATAGAACCAAACATGTTGAAGTGGATAGGCATTTCATAAAAGAGAAGCTGGATCAACAAATTGTTAATACTCCATACATTAGATCAAAAGATCAGTTGGCAGATGGTTTAACCGAAGCAATATCTGAAAAGGCACTTGGAGATATAATGGGCAAGTTAGGCATGTTAGATATATATGCACCAACTTGAGGGGGAGTATTAAATCTAGTGTTATAAAAACCGGACCGGGTCAAACCGGAAACCGGTAAACCGGCCAGGTGACCGGTCCGGGTAAAGTAATGGATCAGACATGCAAACAAATCAGAATAAACCGGCTGGTTTTACTAAAACCGGTGACCCGCTGGGTAAGAAATAAAGAATAAAAAGGAAGGAAAAACGTCGGAGAAAATGGAACGGTGGCCGCCGGGGATGGTGGAGATGGCTTGGCCAGATCTGGTCGGGGCAGAGGCGGTGGAGGAGATAAACAGACGAAGAAGAAAAAGCTTGAACTTGGTAATACCGTGGCCACTGTGGCACCTATGGCAAAGAAGAAGAAGCAGATAAAGAGACGATAGTTGTTTTCAAAAGAAAAAAAGAAAGAGAGACTATAGCTGTTTTCAAAAAAAAAAAAAACGATATATAGCTGTGAAATAGGGCTGTGAAATAACAGATAAAAATGACCAATGCTTTTGTACTTTTCATTTTTTACATTGTATTGGAAAATGGAATGTACTAAATTGTATTGTTAAAGTGAAAGAAGTAGTTTATTATATTGTTAAATGTAACACTCTTTTGCAAAGCTACAGCTTTTTTAAAAGTTTATTATATTAAATTGTATTTGAAATGTAATATTTTTTCTTTTGAGATACAAAATGTAATATTCATTACTAATAAAGTTAGAATATTTATTTATAAAAAAAAGAGAACATTTGAAATTAAAATGATTTTTTATAAGTATTTAAATATATTTATAATTTTTTATATAAATTATAAATTTATATATACTCACCGGGTCATTCGGTTCAACCAGTGACCCACTAACTTAGTACCTCGACCGGGTCAATAAGCGGGTCGAGTTTAATAACATTGGTTAAATCTGAAAGTTTGAATTCAAAAATTTAAATTTGAAATTCTGTTATATCTTAGATCAAGTCTAGAAACTCTTCTGATTGTTTTGGGATTGCTTTAAAGAGTTTGTTTCCTAGTAAATAGGTTATTAGTTTGTTACATTTGTTACATCTTTTTGTATAACTTTACCTCCATTGAGGAAGAAATAACATGAATGAAATATGCCATATTAGTTGTATGAAAATTTGACAAGTACTTTTATTGTTTCTTTAATATAAACATGTGCTAATATATATTATTTCAAAATTGTATATTAGAAGTTATTTAAATGCTTGGATAAACTTTACATATATCAAATTATATTATAATTTAGAAAAAAATTAATTTTTTTATTATACACAATTCACAATGAATTATTGTTATTCATTTAATATGTACCATGTCATTACCATTTTTTTTTATTTTAAAATATGGTTAATGTTGCAATTGAATTGATAAATAATTAATAAGATAAATTTATGCTTTCAAAGTAGGTTTAAATATTTTTACGATGAATGAATGCAAATAAATTATTTACATTTATTCTTAAAACGATGTCAGTTGAAAGATTACAAATTTATAATGATAAAGACTATTACAATCTTAAAATAAATTATAATTATAAAAATACCTTAATTTTTGCATAAAACAATATTATTTTGAGTTCAATACAAATAACTTTTTTGTATTCACTTCACAAAAAATTACTCCAAAAGCATTTAAAAATAGGAAATATTTTTCCTTATGTTATTGAAGATGAATTATCTCAGGCACCACTAGGGTTAGCCTAGTGGTGTGGGGTGTGTGTGTTAGGAGTGTGTGTAGTGTAGGGTGTTGTGTTCAATTCCTTGTAACCTCCAAAAAAAAAAAGATGAATTATCTCATGTTAGTGAAACAAAATTATAAAAGAGACCACAAATAATTGGAGAAAAAATAAATAAAGGTGAGATCCATTTTTATTATGTGTGTGTAAGAAAATAGATTATCTCATGTTAAATGAGATAAATATAAACCTTTAAAAATTAGTGGTTATAGACATTTTTTCTTTTGGAGATTTGGAGGCAGACGATGCACATGAAGAAGACACGTAGACAACACAGACGTCTGTTAGAAGAAGGAAAAGGAAGAAAGCATAAATGGCATTGCGTCACTTACGATTCTTCCCTCGCAACACTCTTACACTCACAAACTTCACTCCCAAACACATACACATACACAACAACACTCTCACAAACTTCACTCACAAACCCAAACACAACCTCTCACTCTCTTCCTCTTCAACCACAACCATGGCTTTCTCTTCCGAAGCTCGAAAGGTGTTTGTTCCGATTGCCGATGGCACCGAACCTATGGAGGCTGTCATCACCGTCGACGTTCTCCGTCGATCCGGAGCTGACGTCACCGTCGCTTCCGCCGCCAACCACCTCTCCCTCCAAGCTCTCCACGGCGTCAAGATCCTCGCCGACGCTTCCGTTTCTGACATCGCCGACACCGTCTTCGACCTCATCGCTCTCCCCGTATATCTCTCTCTCTCTCTCTCTCTCTCTCTCTCTCTCTCTCTATCTCTCATCGAAGTTTGTTGCGTTTTGATTGAGATTTTATGAGGAATTGTGTTTATGATTGTGTTAATCATCTAATTCCTGGATTAATTATTGGTTTAGATGTTTACAGTTTTAGGATTTATTAATTGATTAGTCATCTACCATTATTGGAACATCGTATATTAATTGAGTGGTTAATTTTTTCCTTAATTAGGAATTAATTGATTAATTTGTGTGTAGGGTGGGATTCCGGGTGTTGAAAATCTTAGGGACTGTGGAGTTCTGGAAGGATTAGTGAAAAAGCATGTTGAGGATGGAAGGCTTTATGCTGCGGTGTGTGCTGCTCCTGCAGTGGTGCTTGGGCCATGGGGTTTGCTGAAGGGGTTGAAGGTAAAGATAGCCTCATGTTTTGCTCGTTTTTTACAATCCACTTTGTGTTGCTGATGGCTGACTGTGTGATCGTGGGACAGGCAACTTGTCATCCCTCATTGATGGAAAAATTGGCCTCTTATACAACTGCTGTTGAGTCAAGGGTGCAACTGGATGGCAGAGTTGTGACGAGTCGTGCACCGGGCACCACCATGGAGTTCGCGGTTGCACTGGTTGAGCAATTATATGGAAAAGAGAAAGCTGATGAAGTTGCTGGTCCACTGGTAAGGACTTCATTCATGATAGTTTGTTGTTTTTGAAGAGCAAAGATATCCGGTGTATAGCGTGAGAGGGGAGCTAATCTTGATCATTACATGGATTGTGGATGGTCTGGATTAGTTCGTCGGACCTCTCACGCACTCACTTGATGCATCCCTTACACACACATATTGTTCACAATGGTGCCTACTTGTAACTAATAATATGCTTAACATGTCTGCTTCTAGGAATTAATATGATTGGTAATTGGTAATTTGGTCTTTATGTGCAATTACTGAAGTATTTTCAATATTGATAATTGACTTCTCTACAGCAATCCCTCTGACATATTCCGTGATATCTGAAAATTGCAAATGGTGATAATGATTCCACAATGGGTTTTACATATGAACATTTTGAGGTTTTGTCAGTATCTCAAAGATGAATATGTTGCTGAAAAGAGGCTGAGAGAATATACTCAAATGAGGGGCTGTTGTGGTTTATGATTAATACCATAACTTTTAAGTTATTTGTAGTTGATTGCAAAAGAAGGATAGCTACGAGCCTATGACATTGGTGTTCATATTTGAATGAAGCTAGTTGTTCTTTGCTATGCCCTACCAACTTCAACATAGACGTGTGTATACACAAAAGGGGTGGAGGGGGAACTAGAGTGATTGAAACTGCTGAAAAAGTCTCAAGTTTCTCTCAAGACATGTTTATCACTTCGTGCTTCATAGTTCAAGTCTAATAATTGAGATGTTACTTGTTTTTAAGGAGATAGGGGAGTTCGCCTCTGTTTTTGTGGAACCAAATAACTGAAAAATTATTTCAATTTATGATGCTTATAATTGAGTGGATAAGTTTATTGGTAATGTATGAGTGCACTGGTGCCCATGTGTATATATCAAGCTTTCTGCTGCTGAATTTTGACATACAATAGAAATGCTATTTAGATATTTGTGTTCTTTATGATATCACATTCTTGCTATGGTGTTTATTACTTTCCTTTTTGTCGTTGGATTCTCATATAATTCAACATTCAGGTCATGCGTGCTAATCACGGTGATGAATATACTTTTACGGAGGTAAACCCAGTGCAATGGACGTTTGAAAATTCACCCAAGGTGACGTTTGGACCTTAACATTGTCTCAACTCTCAGTAAATTTTGTGTGTGTTGACAAGCATATCTGAGAAAGGAAGCAGGACTATCTTTATTTGAATTTCTTTGATAGAAATGTGTCCACAAAGATAAAATTTGTTACTGGATTAATGACTTGACGTGGACTGTTATTTGTGTTTGCCGTCTTTTCAGATTCTTGTACCAATCGCTAATGGCATGGAGGAAATGGAAGCTGTTATTATCATTGATATTCTGCGAAGAGCAAAGGCAAATGTTGTGGTTGCTTCTGTGGAGGACAAACTACAGATTGTGGCATCGCGTAAAGTTAAACTGGAGGCAGACATGCTCCTTACTGAAGCAGCTAAACTTTCATATGACATTATTGTGTTGCCAGTAAGGGGGCTTCTTACTTTCTTCATAGCAATTAGTCATATATGGTATTTAGTTTGTGTAAATATATTCCAATTGTTTGCAGGGTGGACTTGGGGGCGCCCAAGCTTTTGCAAACTCAGAAACCTTGGTGAGTTTGCTGAAAAAGCAAAGAGAATCAAACAGATATTATGGAGCAATTTGTGCATCCCCAGCTTTAGTCTTGGAGCCCCATGGCTTGCTAAAGGTATCTGTTTTATGGGTCAAGTCTATCATCTTTATGAAGAAAACTTTAAGTAAAACGACAATCATGAATATTCAATTCTCTTAGTTGCATAACCTGATTTAAGCTCATATATGGTTTGGTTTTCTAATATCGACTTGCCTCTATGGTTTGGTTCATTATTACTGAAGACACTTCCTTAAGCTGCTAAATCCCCGGTGGAGTCTTCATTCTAATTATTTATGGTGTTATAAAGAGCTTGATAGGCATAAACATTTATTTGCACTTGATTTTCAAGCCGTGCTTGTCCATTGTTTATGACTTTATTTTGCATCATGGTGTTAATTTGAGACATGTGCATATATTTTCTTCAATACAGGGTAAAAAGGCCACTGCCTTTCCTGCCTTGTGCAACAAGTTATCAGATCAGAGTGAAGTAGAAAACAGGGTTGTAGTTGATGGCAACCTTATTACCAGCAGAGGCCCAGGAACCTCCATCGAGTTTGCATTAGTTATTGTGGAGAAGCTCTTTGGACGCAATTTAGCCCTAGAAATTGCAAAGGCAACAGTGTTCACACGCCCATAGTATATTTAAATGGGTAGCTGGTTGTGGTAATGTATTAGAGGTTTGTGTATGAATTATTAAGCATATCTGAACCTTGAATGAGTTGTAAAGAATAATGCGAGAAGAGATGTGGTTGTTGATAACGTTGGTAACGCTTTGGTAGTTGCTTCTCATTTTAGTTCTCTTTTTCTTGGGTTTCTTTAGGGTGCGCATGACAATCTTCCCGGAATCAATTCTTTTTTAATTTCTGTTCCCGGAAACAGAAATGGATAGGAAAATCGTTTGGTAAAATCGGTTTATTTTTTTGTTCCCGGGATGCACCGGTTAAATTTTTGTGCTAGAGAACAGAAAAAAGAATCAAAAAATTTCTGTTTTTTTGTTCCCGGGCTCAAAATGAGAAACACTTATCTCTCTCAATCACTCTCCACCTCTACCATCATCACCACCACCACCACCATCCCGACACGACTGTCGCCACTATCGTCGCCGCCGCTATCGTACCACTAGTGCTGCCGTCACCACCCCTCACCGCCACCATTACCACCACCTCCACGCATCACTACCACCATACCACCACCACCACCACAACTACCATCGCTGCCACTGCTACCACCACTATCACCGCCATCAACCACCACCACCATCATCGCAACCATTGCCGTCACTGCCACCATCGCCATCACACGCCAGTGCCACCACCTCCATCGCCATCACTACCACCACCACCACGACGCCACCACTACCATCACCACCATTGTCACCAACCACCACTACCATTGCCGCAACCACTACCGTCTTCACCACCACCAACCACCACCACCACAGCCATTACCGTCATCACCACCACCATCGCCACCATTACACCAACGCCACCACTACCATCACCAAACCACCACCACTGTCACCTACCACCACCGCCGCAGTCACTGTCACCACCACCACCATGATGCCTTCACAACCACCACTATCACGTCACTGCTACCATTGTTGCCGCCACCAACCACCATACTCACAACCATTGTCGCTGCCACTGCCGTCACCTCCACCACTACCATCCCCACCACTACCACCGTCGCTGCCACTATTATCACCGCCATTGTCGCAACCACTACCGTCACAACCACCACCACTATCTTCACCACGTGACTACCACCACCACTACTGTATCGCCGCCGCCGCCACCACCACCACCACAACCACACTATATAGAAAGGAAAGAGTTGATCCGAATTTTTTTTATATTTAATAGAAATTATTTTTTATTATATTATTTGTTGTGTTATCAAACACAATTCTCATTCTCGAAATAAAAATGGAACATGTTATCAAACACATTTTTTTTCTCAGAAACTGTTTCAAGGCACAGAAATAGAAAAAAAATTATTTCTTTTCAGAGACAGTGCTCGGGAATAGAATGGTTGTCATAGACAACCTTATCGTACTTTGACTAAACGATTCTCTCCTGACACGGATGTTTGAATTTGTAATCTCTGGATGACTCTTTTAACAAAAATTATAATAATTTAAAATAAAAAATTCATTATGTCGCAATAAAGTTAAAAAATTTACGCACAGGTCATGTAAGTGCTTAGGATATATTTTGAAAAACTTTTAAAGAATTCAGACGCATGACATGAACATTGAATAGAAAAATGGTTTAAAAAGTTATTTAAATTGATAGAAAAAAGAAATGTCTTATTCAGATGCAGAAGCTTTCTTTCACTGATGGTGCATTTATGAATTCCCTTTCGTCATTTAGTAATTTTTTTTCACAAATCTTTAAATACAAGATGAGTATGGGTATAGAGCATCATATCACATCGTTATTATACCAGTAATAAATATTCTTTTATGGAAAAAATATTTATTCTTTTAACTAGTGTAATTTTAGTTTAAATTAATATTTTTTATTTAAAATTTAAATTAAAAAAATCATCTATTTTTTCCCCTTCATTTTTATTATGTTTTTTTTTCTCTCACTTAAAAAGATATAAAGATATAATTTTATGTTCTTTAAATAGATATATACCAAACATTTTTTTTAGTATATGGAAAAGTTCAAAATCTCGTTAGGGGGCGTTTGGTTAAGGATAAATTTTTTGAATACTAGAGAAATATAATTACTAGGGAAATGATTGGAAAGTGAGTTTGGTAGGAAAATGTAAAAAAGGTTGTTTGGTAGACCGAAATATTACCAGGAAAATTATTTAAATTTGCAAAATCTATGTTCTGGAGAAACTTCGCACCTGTTTTTTCACTTTTTCAGTTATCTCAAAATACCACATCTCAAGTGGTATTCTGTACTAGTAAATTTCATCCAAAAATCAACATAAAAGTCATTTTTCCATCTATCATATTTGCCTAGTATTTTTTTTAAAAACCTGAACCAAATATGATATTTTTCAATATCCACTAACACTTTCCCATCAATCCCAAAATAAATCTTTTACCAAACACTACCTTATAGTTTCCCTTGAATTTATCCCCTATATTAATAACTTTATCTCAAATAATGTAAGAGTTTGTTTTTTCTGATGTTACTTTAGATAACTTTATCTAATGTTCATCAAAACGACGTCGTTTTAGGACGGAAATCATGGTATTTTTGTAATTTTAATTTATTTCAGGGTTATAATAGTCTTTATCACTCTAATTTTTTAATTTTTCAACCCCAAAACGACATCGTTTTGATGAACATTAGATAAAGTTATCTAAAGTAACATCGGAAACTTTTTTCCCATGTTAGGTAAAACAAGTATTATTTTTTTTTTTGTAAATAAAGTAAAACAAGTATTATGTTGCAGGACAATCTCCTTGTCATGTTATAGAGATAATAAGTGTGAGATCCACCATATTTAAAATAAATAGAAAAAAAAAACAAATACAGCACAAATATTGATGTATACGTAGTTTACAAACCCTTTTATGTTAATGCTTGACCCCTCCCAATGCACATTGTCCTATATAGATCCCACCCCACAGACCGTGACAGACCGGTAACTTGAAGTCAAGACACGAAAAGATAAATGCTGTCTACCAAACGTTGTGGTTAGTGGTTACCTCTCTCTCTCTAGTACTACCACGTGACGGTGATGCCACCAAAGACTTTGGTTTCTGAGAAGTGAGCTTTTTCTTCATTCTTTTTGGTTTCTAGTAATGTATTTTCTTTCTTATTGTCTGTTTGTTTCTTGAGAAAATGTAAGAAAATTAAATGGAAACAAATTATGTGTTCACTGTTGTCGTGATTATAGAGTAATCAATTTTATTTATTTATTTAGTGGGGAGGGGTTTAACTGTTTTACCTGTAGATATGACATGTATATTTTACTTTTGTTAACTTAATTGCTCCTCCTCCATCTCCATAATTTTCTCATGTTTTATTCACTTTTTCGATATGAAAGTTAAGTTGTGAAGACAGGGTTGTACCCCAAACAAGGTTTGAGTGTTTACAAAGAAGAAATATAAAGTTTGACTTTGATTTGCATTTTGCTTATTGGTTACAGAGACTGTTATTCAATATCATGAAAAGTAGTGCTAGTGGCAGATATTTATGACTTCCTGCTGCAACTGTTGCTGATGGATTGTGAAATTATTCAATCAGGGATTTGTTGGCCTTCTGAAATGTACTGTTTCTTTCAGTACAGGATTTCATGATCATTATTATGGTTGGATATAGAATGGATATTTAGCTGTTGAGTGCTATGGTCATATGATTTACAAGTTGATGCTACTGTTGGTTTGATCCATTGGAGCACCAGAGTCACTCTGATGAATTGTTTCTCTCTTCTTTTCCGAAAAAGGAGGGCTTCCTCAGCCACACAATCAACTGAAGTTGATATAGGTACATAGATAAAATTTATGATTGTTTACTTCTTTTGTAATTTGTTTTTGCAAACACAGTTCCATAGAAGATCTGCTGCATTATAAAATTATTCTATCTGTTAGAGAATAAAAAAAAGCATTAAAAAGGCCATCACCTAATACCTCAAGGTTTTGGGTTGAAATGGTTCTTAACATGGTATCAAAGCTTTAGTAACCATAAGGTTACGAGTTCGATCCTCACTGCCCCCCACTTTCAGGCGGAATTAAAACAAACACAAGGCAGACAAAAAAAAAAATGGGCTCGTGTAGCACAAGGCAGACAAAAAATGAGCTTGTGCCATATCCACGCTTCAAGCCCAGGGCTCTTGCGTGAGAGAGTGTGTTAGAGAATAAAATAAAAGCATTAAAAAGGCCATTACCTAATACCTTAAGGTTTTGGGTTCAAATGGTTCTTAACACTTGTCAATTGAATTCAACCAAGATTTGGTGTGTGCTGGCCTTTTCATGAAAAAAAAAAAAATAGAATCTAATAATCCCAGAAAGTCATCAACATCATTTTCATTTTGGGGGCATAATCTTTTATGAAGCTTTTTTTTTATTGAGGGGTGAAAGAAACTAAATTACTAAGACCTGAATTAAGCAAAATAAAAGCTGGAATCTTCTTATATGGCATGTAGTACTACAATCCAGTTCATTGAATTTATAAATGGGAAATGCATTGATGTATGCTGCATAATAATGTTTTGCTTATTAAATATCTTGAAGCTTGTTATAAAACAACAAGTCACCCTTCCATTAAAATTCTGGTGGTTTTTGTTGTTATTAATTTAACTTTTCTTCTTCACAAAAGGTTTGGGTAAATTTTATTTTTCACTAATCTAGGGCAGCATGTTACATTCTATGAAGCTTGAACCTATTAGAGAAAGCTAAGCTAACCCAATTTTCATTTACTGTTTTTTTATTAGAAAATTTACAAAGTTTGATATGTTCCAAATGTTTCTATGTTTAAATCAAGTTAATATGTATATGTTGCAACAGATATTTCAAACATTCAGAATGTCAATCTTTACACTTACAAGGAATTGCGAATTGCCACCCAAGGTTTCAGCCTAGCAAACAAGATAGGGGAGGGAGGTTTTGGATCAGTTTATAAGGTGATTGTAGTAGTATGGCTTCCACAATTCATAACTGCATCACTTATTTAGAAAGATGCGCTTATGCTTCTTTCTATGTTTCAATTTCAGTGACTGATAACTTTCTACCCTGAATAGGGAAAGTTGAGAAATGGTACTCTGGCTGCTATAAAGGTTTTGTCAGCTGAATCAAGACAAGGTGTCCAGGAGTTCTTAACAGAAATCAAGGTGATCTCTAGTATAGAGCATGAGAATTTAGTTGAGTTGTATGGATGCTGTGTGGAAGGAAACCACAGGATTTTGGTGTATAGCTATCTTGAGAATAACAGCCTAGCACAAACACTTCTTGGTAAGTAATTTTTCACATTTGATATGAATGTATTAAAACTATCCTAGTAATGAATTTGTACTCATGACTTTATAGGTGGAAGCCATAGTAGCATCCAATTCAATTGGCATGTACGGAGGAACATTTGCATTGGTGTTGCCCGGGGCCTTGCATTCCTTCATGATGAAGTTCGGCCACATATTATTCATAGAGATATTAAGGCAAGCAATATATTACTTGACAAAGGCCTCCAGCCCAAAATTTCAGATTTTGGCCTTGCAAGGCTTATAGCACCAGATCAGACCCATATTAGTACACTTGTTGCTGGTACATAGTAAGTTCATAATTCTGTTTTCAATTGTTGGAGAGTTTTTAATTAGTTTATGGGTTTTATAAGAGTTATGTTGTAGGAAAAGTGATTGTGTAATGTTATAGAGATTCGTTTTGCGTGCCGTAATTTTCTTTTTTTTCTTTTTTTTTTCAAAAAGTGTGGACCCCACAAAATGTTGTATGTGTAGGAAAGTTTGTTGTGTCATGTTAAATTATAAATGCAAACCCCTTAGTTTATACTATGAAACTCTGCCAGAACATGTAATTACTTCTCTGCCTTGCATCCTGATTTTTTATACTTCAAATTTTATTAGCAATTTTTGCCATTTTCTTCTTACTATGCCCCTGTTTGGTTTCTGTAGCGGCTATCTGGCACCTGAATTTGCAATACGAAATCAAGTTACAAGAAGAGCAGATGTATATAGTTTTGGAGTTCTGCTACTAGAAATTGTTAGTGGGAGATGTAACACAAACAGACATTTACCTGCGGAAGAACGGTATCTACATACAAGGGTAAGGACCTTTCATTTTGCAAAATAAAAATAAGTTAGAGCAAATAGATATAGTTGAGGATTTAACTTGAATAGAGATTTTTTGAAATATACCTTGCAAATTTGTGATTGATATGTCTTCATAGAGAATTTTATTCTTGGCGCTCCTGGTTTATTAAAGTTTATGTTCTAAATATAGAATGAGCTTCATCACCACTTCATTTTCCTTTTCCCTCTATTAGTTTATATTTAATAATATCGCACTCCAATCACATCCTGTTCCCTTCTTGACAGTAATTTAATATGTTGAAATTGGATATCAATTTTCTTAATATTTATCATTTGTTAAATATAGTATCAAGTATGAGAGTCAGATTTAGACCTTTTATTCAACTCATTCTTCATTTTATTTCCTCTTTTCTCCTGGTTGTCCTCTAAGCTTCACGTTAGCTATTTGTAACGTTTCATACAGGCTAGGGTAGTTTGAATTCCTGACCTTGAAAGTTGCAACTCAAAACACTTGGGCTTATGGGTAGAACATTTAGGATTGGCCTAGAGCTTTACTATCCTGAAAATAAGTTGTATTTGTTCAAATGGCATGGATGATTCTGTCTTTTTAGTTGCATTCTTAATCTTTTCACTGTTACCAAGTGAGCAAACAATCGTGTGATTATTGCCATGAAGTTTATGACTAAGCTTGTTAAAAGACATGAAAATAATCATTACAGGTGCGATGTGGTCATGCTAGGAGAATTAGTTCTTGTAATGTAAAATTTGTACATGAGAAAAATGAGTCTTTTTTATTGGCATGGAGTGAACTCCTATTCCCTCACACCTGATGCTACTCAAACTTTGGAATATCTAAATGGTTTCAAGGTTTTGCACAAAACTGCAATAAAAACCCTTTTTCTTATGTATCTTGGATTTGAGTTGCACATGAATTCAAGGGTTACTACTGCTAGGAAATTAATGTCCTTACAGTTATGTGGATGGAACTCAACTGTTGATAAATGAGTGATTAGATTATGTCTTGCAGGCGTGGAATTTGTATGAGAGGGGAGAGCTGGAGAGTTTGGTGGATGTCATGTTGGATGGAGACTTCAACGTTGAGGAGGCGATAAGGTTTTGTAAGATTGGTCTTCTTTGCATTCAGAATTCTCTTCAGCTCAGACCTTCTATGTCTACTGTGCTTAAAATGCTAATAGGCGAAACAGAAGTGAATGAGGAAAAGATTACAAAACCTGGCTTATTTGAATTTCTGGAAGCCAAAGACCAAGGGAAACAGAAAGACATTGCTGAAGTGGAGAAAACATTTCTTTTGGCTGGTAAAGGGAAGCATGATGATTCATCTTCATCAGGAACCATGAGTTCTTTTGCCACCATGACCTTCACTTCAATTTATGACCGGAGCAATTAAATTACCTATTGTTAGGAAACTGTGCAACCGGCCATTCATAAGTTTTTCCCTTCCCCTTGTATCCAAAGTTGTCTATCTTCACTGCCTTTTGGAACTACAAACTACCGAGTCAATTTTTGTGCTATATCTTCTTCTCATACTAGTCAATAAATCATAATTATTGGTTCAATTTAGGAATCCTTCGGTTCAAGCTTTGTGCAAAATAGGATTATAATTGATTAAGGCCATGCATCACAGTATTTTGAAACAGGAGATTGTTTTATTTTTGGTTTTGCTGTTTTTGAGTCTTGTGCTGCTTAGTTTAAGAATAGTGCTATTTCCATTACTTATACATCCGCGGGGGGGGGGGGGGGGGGGATTCACTTACTGTGTTAATGGATGGTTCACACAAGAATCTTCAAAAAAGTAGAGTTTCCTTTTTGTTGAATTCTTTGTTTGGCAACTGAAACCTAGGATTGCTATATTCTCTCCGCAAAGGTGAGTTTGTGACTGTTAGAATAGGAAATATAATATGTATAGTTTTGTATAGACTACTTTCCTATCTGTAAATATTATTTTCCTATTTAGGATTTGGATTAGGTTTGGGCTTCTTACTTAAGCCCATTAGGGTCTCTATATATTGTAACTCTTTGTATTAGCTTAATGCACAACATATTATTTTATATTCAAGTTGGTACTAGAGCTCTTTTGTTCTGGGGACCCTCACTTTCGCTTAAAACCTCGTTTTTTGCTTTAAAACCTAAGCTCACTGCTTAGGAGTTCTCTTTTCTTTGCCGTGCGTCCTTCCGGCAAGCCATCTAGGGATGTAAGCTCCTTCAGATTGATTTCCGCACGCGTCAGCACCTCCAACAGCCACCGGAACCAACGTTTGTCACTGTTCCGACCACCGGAGTCTTTTTCCGGCGAGTTTTTGAACCAGAACACCTGCGATCAGATCCCTCTCTCACGGCGACCAGTTCTGTGGAAGACCCACCGCCGTCGTAGCCTCCACGCGCCGTCATCCTTCTCTGTGCGTGGTGCTCACGGCCACCTTCCACCGGCGCGTGTGCACTGTTCCGGCGTCCTTTTCCGGCTGTTCCTGGACAGACCAGCTCGCCCTCTCCTCTTCTTTCCAGATCTGTGGTTGGTTCTTCGTGGGTCTTACTTTTTGTGTTTGCCTCTTGATTTGTGATCAGGTTAGTTTCTATTCACTTGATTCTGTACCCTTGTGACTTATTATAATGGCAGTATCTTCTCCTGCTCAATCGGAGATCAGTTCTCCTTCTCGTCCTGCCAAAAGTTCCTCAAATATCTTCTCCACCAATGTTGGGCCCATTACCTCTTCCAAACTGAAGGGTTCTGTTAATTACAAGAATTGGGCCACCTCTGTTCGACTTTGGTTCTTTGGACAGGGACATGGGCAACATCTTACAACTAAATCTACTGATATTCCTAAGGAAGAAAAATCTGATTGGGAAAGGATTGACAACCAGCTTCTGAGTATCCTTTGGCGGTCTATTGATCCAATCGTCTTGGATATTTTCTATTCTTTTCAAACATGCAATGAAGTGTGGGAGGAAGCAAAACACCTCTACACTAATGATATTCAGCAGCTCTATTCCATCATGTCTCAGTTTATGGATCTGCGCAAATCATCTGACACTCAGATGGAGACATATGTTGGCAAGAACCAAATCTATACATATTATATTTCCTATTCTAACGGTGACTATTTTTGGGTCACTAGATTTTCTCCCACCAATTATATGATTTGACGTTGAATACTCAATTTTGATGAGATTGTTATGTTCTGTTTATAATTGTTTACATGTACATTTTCGCAATGCATCTGTTATCTGCTATATTCCAGTTGTTTATGCAATGCAAGAGGAAATGAAACTGAATAATCGTTTTCCAGTTTGTACCATCCTCGTTCTTGAGTTAATAGTAAATGTATACAGAATTGTCTTGGAATAAAAAGCACAGGAAGCATTGCGTGTAAATAGTTACACATGATGAAGCCATGAAGGAGATCATAGCAGTTACACATGGGAAATTTGGAAGAATCAAAACAATATTGATAGCCTTTTTATGTTGGTACAAAACGATTCAGATTTTTTCTGCATTTAAACAGGAGCCATGCATTATCGTTTGTGAAAAGAATTGAAAAGCTAATACTGTTGTAAACTTGCTCTATTTTCTTGTATAACATCTGGACCAAAGAATAAAAAAGCTAAGCACTCTATACCCCATTATGAAGCCCAACATTACAGCCAAATTGGTCCATTTTTGTGACTCTTTCAGACCCTGTTGTCTTAAGAACTCAACTCCATGTAATATGCATTCTCCATTACTAATTTCTATGCATCTAATTTTCCCTTGCTCTCCTCCATACTCATTTATCATGAGGCATTCAAATGGATACTTGAATAGGCTCAAATAGTGCATAAAGATCCAGTAACTGGGTATTTTTTCCTTTGATATGAAATACCCTGAAAATAGAAAGAAAGACCCCATTAGACCAGCAATCACCGAGGTCCCTAGGATGAAATTTGGCACTAGAGCGCTGAAACAAGCCACGAGAGAATTTGACATGAGTAGGACCAACCAAACCACTAAGGAGAAGTAAAGGAAACCTTCAATGTCTTTCCTTAATCCTACAAGCCAATAAACTGGAGTAGTGTACAGAAGACCAACCATCAGAAGGAAAGGAAGAAACACAAGGGTATTTGCTAAAACATAGGAAGAAACTCTATAAGCTCCTCTCGAGGTCTCTCTCATCAAAGTCCTTCTCTCCTCCAAGAAAATAGGTAGGCCTTCTGTTGTTGATGATAACAAAAAGGTAAGGCTGAAAGCAAAAAAGCCACTTCTTGTTTGCAATGCTACTTGACTTTGTTGGCTGCCATCATTCAAAAATATGGTCCCCAGTAAAAATCCAGCTACTATGGCCTGTAGGACCCTGGCTACAAAGAGTTGCTTGGTCCTGAATATGTTGAAGCAAAATCTTTGTCCTAGGATTAAAATCTCCCCCATTGGAGAATTTGAGTACAAAAGAGCCTTTTCTTTGACAATCTTAGAGCACTGCTTCCTCATCTTGTGATCTTGGTGCTCTTTGTCTTTGAGAAGAAATTGGTTGTTCCCATATTCTGAAGTATGTATAACCAAGCTTTCCATGACATCAAGAGCAAATTCGAGGACATTGACATGGTGGGGAATGTGATGCCCAGCTAACTTGAGCCTTGCCTCAAGAAGATTCAATGATCCATTATGCATGACAAATCCATCAGACAGCAAAATGAGGCCATCAAATAGCTCTAAGATTCGAAAACCAGGTTGGTGGATAGTTAAAACAATTGTCTTACCTTGATTAACTGCCATTAGTCTAAGCAATGAGACTACGTTAAGAGCTGATGCTGAATCCAACCCTGAAGTTGGTTCATCAATCAAAATAACTGCAGGGTCATGAACCAAGTCAACACCAATGGAAACTCTACGCATTTCCCCACCCGATATGCCATGGTTTGATCCACCACCAATTCTTGAATCTGCAATATGATCCAACCCAAGCTCCTTCATCAATTCTCCAACTCTGATATCAGCAAGTTTTCTCCCCCCAGGAAGCCTCAGAAGAGCACTATACATGAGTGTCTCTCTAACTGTAAGTGATGGGAACAAAGCATCTTCCTGTGTAACATACCCTGATGTTCTTCTGAACTGGTTCACTTCCATAGGCCTATGATTGACCAGCACTTGGCCAGACACTCTACATGGGGTTATTCTCCCAGCAAGAATTTCAAGCAGTGTGGTTTTTCCAGCTCCACTAGGACCAGCAATAGCAGTTAACTCTGCTGGCCTTGCCTCACAATTTACATCCTTCAAAATGAACTTAGCACCTCTCCTAGGATTTGAGCCAAAACAAAGACTTCTATATTCATCAAGTTGGCTGCACAATTTGTATGACAAGTTCTTGGTTTCTAATCTATGTGGGGTTTTTCTGGTGCATGAGTTGGGCTTGAATGATGATCCCATTGTGTGTTTGTGTGCATACAAAAGTGAGAAAAGAAAGGCATGTATCACCCAAGTTATGTGAAGAAGAGGACATAAATAGGAAGATGAGCTAACACACCAAATTGTGTGCTAGTTATATAGCTAAAGAAGCCAACATAGATTTTGTAATGTAATGTTCTTTGACTATATCCACTACTTGTCTATTTTTTATTGGCGTGTGGGATTTGGAAAGGGGTTTGGCGAGTTAAAAGTGCTTTAAGAAAACCAAAGAAAGAAAGAACATAAGTATAAGTAGGAAGTTTTTCTGATGAGCTAAACATTGACTATGCAGGGTTAGTGTTTGGTTGGCCCATCATCTTCCCCATATGCATCACAAGCTGAGACAGTTCATAGTTTGGTTAGTAGAATATAAAAAAATTATCAAATGTAGTTTTACAAGTTAACTAGTCTTCAAATACTGCAATCTTTTTTCAACTGTAGTTAAGCATTTTTTATTTTATTTTTTGGTTTACATTTTATTCAAGTGTAAGTAATATTGCTTGTTTACTATACAAAAAAAGAAGAAGTAATATTGCTTGTTTCTTAATATAATAAATTGATATTTCTATTAGGTCATAAATGGGTAAACCCCTAGAGAGATTTTTTTAATCAATGACTACTTTTTGTTTAATAAACAACAATGACTCAAATTAATGTATCCTAGTTTTCTTTTTAATAGACAACTATCGTTTGCCCAAACCCTAAAGTTCTACCATCATTCGCTATGATCAACGTATTATTTTAAAATATTTCACTCTTAATAACAAAAAAATAATAATAAGAAATGTCCATTATATTTTAGAATTTGTTTATAACTACGGTTTGGTTTAGAAAAAGGTCTTTTTTTTTTTGTGTGTCTGTGTGTGTTGTTGTTTTGGGGGTTGGGGGGGATAGGAGACTCGGTCTCAGTTATATGATTTATTGCTAATTTCTACCTTAATATAAAATTAATGTTGTCCATTTTTTAAATCAATTAGATGCTACCAAATTTGAAGTGACTCATCTAATTTTCATAAACTATGATAATAATACAACATCAACATCAACATCAACAACACATTTATCCCAAATTAATTGGGGTCGGTGGTAGATGAACCCACATGAAAGATACAAAACGGTTGAAAAAAAGTAAAAAAAATAAAAAATAAAAAA